TAGTCTGGCAGACTCTGGCCCTGCAACATCCGTGGTCCCACATAATTTTAGTTATCTAGATGTCCACGTATGGGTGTGGCCAAGTTTCCCGTCATCCCATAAAGTTTCTTTAAAGCCACTAGTCCTGTCTCAGTGTTCTGTGCTGTTATTTAGCTCTAATTTACCCCATAAGACTTCTAAGAGCCCAGTAAGCAGTGAAAGTGTTGGAAATGCTGCTACACAATACTGACCACCCCCACCATGGTCTTGCAAATTATCTGGTTTGGCACTGGCCAAGTCCCAAGGGCTTAACCTGTATGGCTGTGTCTAGACTGGCATGATTTTCCGGAAATGCTTTTAACAGAAAAGTTTTCCGTTAAAAGTATTTTCGGAACACAGAATCTAGATTGGCATGGACGCTTTTCTGCAAAAGCACTTTTTGCAGAAAAGCGTCCGTGCCAATCTAGACGCGCTTTTCCACAAAAAAGCCCCAATCGACATTTTCGCGATCGGGGCTCTTTTGCACAAAACAAATCTGAGCTGTCTACACTGGCCCTTTTGCGCAAAACTTTTGCGCAAAAGGACTTTTGCCCGAACGGGAGCAGCATAGTATTTCTGCAAGAACACTGACAATCTTACATGAGATCATCAGTGCTTTTGCAGAAATTCAAGCATCCAGTGTAGACAGCTGGCAAGTTTTTCCAGAAAAGCGGCTGATTTTCCGGAAAAACTGGCCTGTCTAGACATAGCCTATGTGTTTAGAATTGGGATTACCAGTTAACCAGTGTTGACAAAGCCATGCTTTCCAGGGTGCCTACCATGGGGGAGGGATGCACCAGTCCAGCCAGACCCTAAGCGAGGAGCTGGTTATCATATGTTTAACTGCTTAACATTTTAAACAGGATTTTACATCTCTAGTCTAGAACCTCAGGCTTCTAACTCAGAGTGGTAGGAATATGCAGTTCTCGTTAGCTCATGAGATTATTGTAAAGTGAATATAGATGTAAGCCTTGTGCAGCCAAAAGACAGCAAATTGTGTTGAAGCATGGAAGATAATGAATTCTCGCTACAGCCAGACAACAGATATCTTTAAGATACTTCCTTTCGGAGGAATGGTGGGCTTCTGCCCACAATAATAAAGAAGGCTTAACACAAGAAGGGGAATCAGCCACCATTATGTCTAGATGTACAGTTTTCTACATTTTATGTCTGCCCTATATAAGCCAGTTCTATGATTCACAGCATTCACTGGGTCTGCCCTGTTATTCCATTACTTAATGCCTAATCCTGCCAGAAGCTGAGCACCTTCAGCCATGACTGAAGTCACTTGAAATCTTTAGACAGGCAAGAATGGGACTTTATCCTGGAAGTCTTGTTATTGTACTGTGAGGTTACAGTTCTGCTTCACAGACAGTACACCTGTGATTCCACTCACTGGCAGGCAGGAACTGAAGAGCCCTACTCATGCAGAGAGCAGTATCACATAGCAGAACTGGACTCAATCTTGGAATCTGTGCAAGTCTTCCTCTCTCCAACGGTGCTCGTCATGCACAAAATATTTTGTAAGTATAATGCAGTTTAATATTTTTTTTAAATTGTCATGTCACTAAGCAACCTCCAAATACATCAGATATCACAGAATCCTCTAACGTATGCAGATTTATAGACTATCAACATTTTCTCTAGAACTCTTAAAGCTTCAGATCTCATTCATTAGGTACCTCCATATTCACTTCTCTGGAAGCTTCTCAATACCTTCAATTCAGATAATAAAACAATCCATTTATGCTTTCATAGGGGTGGGGGGTAAACTTTGCAAACAATATGACCCACAGGAGACATTTGGACAGTTCACTCACCCCTCACTCCAAAACCATTTCCTAAAATGTCAGTGGAGGAAACCTGGATGTCATCACTTCACACTCACACCCCCAATTGCACTTACAAACTCTTCACTCTGAAGCCCAGAGAGCTGAGATTGGAACAGGAAAGGGGGCGTCATGAGGGAGTCACAGAGGAAAGGAAAAATGAGAGAGTAGATGGGAGAACTGCAGGAGGGACCTGAGGCAATGACTACTTGGGAAGAGGCAATAGTAGCAGGAGATGAAGGGGGGGAGGAGAAGAGTGTCGGGAGGAAAGCCAAGGTGTGTGGGGAGCAGTATGCCTGTTTTAATCATTTTATCACAGCCTGCTAAAATGGGGGAGATCTTAGGGTTCAGTGTTGGGATGAGAAGATGCCAAGACAGCGGTGGGTGGGGAATCTGAAGCATCAGCTGCACAGAATGAAAACAGGGGAAGCTCTAAGTGGTGGGCAATTTCAGGGGTCAGTGGGGGAGCCGGAAAGGCCCCAAGGGAAGCACAGGAATCAGCCTGGGGATGCAAAGAGGCTGAGTGAAGGCCCGTGGAGTTGGCACAGACAGGAAAATGCTGAAGCTGCTGGTGGAGGTCTCGGAGAGGGGGGATGACAGGCTGGCACTGACACTGGGAGGTGGGTACAGGGAGGGGTGGGGTCTCCGGGGTCAGCTACAGAAGGGCAGGGAGCCCCCGGGGAGGGAAGCACAGGAATCAGCCTGGGGATGCAAAGAGGCTGAGTGAAGGCCCGTGGAGTTGGCACAGACAGGAAAATGCTGAAGCTGCTGGTGGAGGTCTCGGAGAGGGGGGATGACAGGCTGGCACTGACACTGGGAGGTGGGTACAGGGAGGGGTGGGGTCTCCGGGGTCAGCTACAGAAGGGCAGGGAGCCCCCGGGGATGGTTATGGCGGGGCGGGGAGGCAGGACGGAGCCGACGCGAGGGGATGGGGGTCCCGTAGGGACACG